CTTGACGCTGCATTATAGCGCATGACTTGACGCTGCATTATAGCGCATGACTTGACGCTGCATTATAGCGCATGGCTTGACGCTGCATTACAGCGCATGACTTGACGCTGCATTATAGCGCATGGCTTGACGCTGCATTATAGCGCATGGCTTGACGCTGAATTATAGCGCATGACTTAACTTTACACTAAGTCTCTGCGACAGAATGCGGTACGTTGAATTCACCAGAACCCAATTCATCACTCAACGTAGGGTTGAGGTTTGAGTCATCATTTTATCAGTAGTTTTATTTAATGTTTTTTTATTTTATTTTTTATTTTTTATTTTATGCGTAGTTGTTATCCGTACTGCCGGGTTGAGTTTGAAGGATCAAGTTCGGGTTGACTTATGGGTTGAAGTTCAAAGTCAACTTAAGTTGGTCGCAAGTTGGTTGTTTATCGTGCAGAGACTAGAAAAGCCGCTCAAAAGTTCATAAAAAGTTTTAGATAAACTATCCACTTGCAGAGATGAATTTTGGTTAAAATTTTGAAAAGTTCAAAAAAGTCACAAACTCTTCGGCGGCCTTGACTTCAAACTTAGTTGGAACCTGCAGACATAATTCAAGCTTGTCGGCGAGCTTAAACATGGGCATGTAAAACTCTTGAAAGTTAACTGATAACATGTAGAACTTTCGAAAGTTAACTACGTTGGTAACATGTAAAACTGTTGGAAACTGAGCGACGTTGATGACGTAAGCAGTTGAGCTGGTCACCAGGCACTGGATGACGTCACAGAATGATAGAAGTTGGACGACGAAGGCGGTGACTCAGCGCGACCGTGGACATGCACGCAAAATAAAAACGTAGTGAGGCAGGAGGACGAGGTTTTGAGTACACCTAACATTATAAGGATTAAAAAAATAATATTGTAATGATCTTTCGTGCCGAGGTTAAATAATGATCGAGTTAACACAATTTTTTTAATTTTAATGAAAAGTGAACACTTAAATTAAGAATAATGAACAACGTTAACGTGAACATATGGGCATCGTAATAGGGTACAGAACTCTCTTCTTTCATATGCTAGGGCACAGCATAGTAGATGTTCCTCACAACAGTAATAGATTATATAAGCACAACACTGAATCTACTTGATAGCCTCTTGTGATCTATCCGGGTTGACTTCTCCCTACATGAACAAAATCAAATTTACAATTAGTCGGGTAATTCCCTACCAGATATCTCACATAGTATTAACACACCAACAACATTAACACAGTCTGAATTCACTAAACTAGTCCTTGCTTTGGTCCCACAACAAGTCAGCTCTGAATTCTTACACTGCTACGGGATCGTCAACCATCACATGGCAGTAGCCGTCCATGCCACAATCCCAGGACTGTGGCAGTAGCCGTCCATGCCACAATGCCAGGACTGTGGCAGTAGCCGTCCATGCCACAATGCCAGGACTGTGGCAGTAGCCGTCCATGCCACAATGTCAGGACTGTGGCACGCGCCATCCATGCCACAATGTCAGGACTGTGGCACGCGCCATCCATGCCACAATGCCAGAATTGTGGCACTAGCCGTCCACTGGTCGAAGGTAAATTGGATTAGCGGCGAGACTGTAGCCATCTGTACACAAGTTATAGGGACTGTAGCCATCTGTACACAAGTTATAGAGACTGTAGCCATCTGTACACAAGTTATAGAGACTGTAGCCATCTGTACACAAGTTATAGGGACTGTAGCCACCTGTACACAAGTTATAGGGACTGTAGCCATCTGCACACAAGTTATAGGGACTATAGCCATCTGTACACAAGTTATAGAGACTGTAGCCATCTGCACACATGTCAGATACATTGCTCTTAACATATTGCAATACACTTCTCCCATAGTTTGCATGCACGGCAGAGTAGCAAGTTTAAATTTCAGACAATAGATAGAGTCTTATAGGAGAATGGTACAAAAAATATCTATTCTCAAAAAGTTTACTTAAAAATAAAGAGCACAAGTTGAATACAAGTTTATCTTATCACATTTCTAAGTTCATACTTTAATTCTAGGGAATACAGTTCCTAGTTTGCAGAAAGGGATGCATGATCAAAAAAAATTATTGAGAGAGTTGTAATATACCTAATATATATATATATATATATAGTATAGACTACCTATACCTAAGTCCTCACTCATCCTCATAGATATTCCATCTGAGGTAATGGACACTTGCCAATCCTGGACAATTCCAATCCTGTATTATGACCACAAAGTTGCATCTTTTAGAATAATGGACACATTATTCTAAAAGATGCAACTTTGTGGTCATAATACAGGATTGGAATTTTCCTACTTCCAACTGAAATTTTGAGGCTCAAAAGTTGATAAATTTTAATACATTATTTTAAATCTTGCAACCTGATTGTGCTCATTTGTCAATAATTAGATTAATTAGATTTAGATACTTGAGTTGATAGGATCATAGCCTCATAGGAGTCAACTAAGGTAATTGATTTAGCAGAATTTTTCTGGTTCTGAAAATGGCAGGAAGGTTTTAGTTGCAGCTTTGCAGCCTGCAAGCGTGGAAAACATCTACCTTAAAGGCTGCAACTAGAGGTTTCCTGCCAGGCTGCCAATGCCATTGCCAGAACTGCAAGATTTCTGCTACTTGAATAACCTCCTATCCAATTGTTAACAAAAGTGCACAATAGGGCCATGACTGCTGCGCAAGATTGCAAATGGATTGAAAATTCGTCACATTGGAGCCACAAAATTTCAGAAACAAGTAGAAAAATTCCAAATTTCCAATCTTGTACATAATATTGTAATAAAAAATTAATTTATTTCCCAACTTGCACATAGCATTTGTCTAAAAAAAAAAACAATACTAACTATTATCATCATTGATTTTTTATTCACGGTCATGGAAAGAAAAATATTAAGTGTGATAAAAACTACAAGTCTAGCATGGAAATCATTTTCCTTTGACATTTCAAGCACAAGCAGGAGCAGCAGCCTCCAACTTGCATGCTGGCCATAGTAGTGGCAGAGCAGAGAGTTTTTTAGACTCTCCCTGAGCCTGAAGTTCATTTTTGACTACTATTAGTAGAGCAGTAAAGTACCTAGCTACCAGTGGGTACTGGCTACCTATCCTGGATACCTAGGCTACCAGGCTACCAGTACCAGCATGCACTATGCAGCATTAGCCTATCATACATAATAAATTGGTTTAAATCTTGGTTAAATGAGGAAACTAAAAATGAACCGATTCAAAAAAATCTATGGTTTGTCACTATGCATGCTGCTGCTTTGTACAGTACAAGCTAAAATGCTAAATATTCTAAAATACATTTACATATAGAGTAAGAGGTAGTTCTAAGTCTTATAACTCCTATTTTATGTTTAATGCTCTAAGAATTTTATTGAATCATGCTCACATCATCATCTTCTTCAATGGCCTGTAGATTGGTATTGTTAGCGGATGAGACAGAAGGCTTTAACTTGCTGGTGCCTACATTGCTAGTCGTGGTAGTAGTCGAAGAGACAGATTTTGTGGTATCTGAATTTAATGAATCCATACTTGAACCTGAAGGAACTATAACTACAGACTCTTGAGCAACAGGGGTCCCGTCTGAGCTAGCAACACCACTGTCTGTTTCTGGAACAACTTCATTTGCCATTGCAGAGCAAAAAAAAATGCTAATCTTGTTGGCGCGTGGAAGGTGAAGATGTTACACCAAAAACTAATGCTAACTGTCCCGGCAGCGTGGCTTGTTTACCGGAGAATCGGCGATCGAATTCCGGCCTTGTATCAGGGGATAATGTTGACCATGTGACAACCCAAAAGAGAAAATTTGAATTTTCAATAACCGAAAATTGAATGAAGTAATTACCAAATCCTGAGATATAAATGGAATTATAGAGTAAATATGAAATAAATTATGATCATTTCAGATATTTCCAGACTATCTTCGTCAGTTTCAATTTTATTTTCAATGAAAATTTATTCCTAGGAACTTTACTCCCGCAACAATAATATAATTATTCAATAAGACCATTAGAAATGTTTTAGTCAAACATCCGCACAGAATAAAAAAGATATTTGTATTGAAGTCACTTGTTTGCTTGAATTGCAAATTAACTGGAAATTTAAAGCAAAGAAAATTCCACTACATTCCACTAATTCTAATAGATTGCCTTACCTCGCAATATAATTCCATCAAATTTACTATATAGCTCGAATCTAACAATAGTTTGCCCTTCCTTAAAAGGACAAAGGGAAATTAAGAAGTTGTCATCGACGTATCTGTTATAGAATATTGGCTTAGAAGCAGAGGTGGGCAGTAGTGCGCTACATGTAGCGGCCGCTACTAGCGGGCGCTACATTTTCAGTGGCGGTAGCGGTAGCGGCGCTACATTTAAGCAATTGTAGCGGTAGCGGTAACGCCCGCTGCATATCTAAGTATCGATACGAGGTTTTGCCGCTACAGCGCTACCGCTACATTTATAGATAAAGCCTTTAGATTTTACTTAATACTATTATATATTATTTAAAAACCAGCATGATACATACATAATATAAATTACAGAATAAAACTGTACGAAAGATTTCGGTGTAATGTTGTCAACTTCAGCCTGTTGGGCTGTTAGTAGTGTCAACATGTTAGTTGTTACCAGAGTTGGGCAGTAGCGCGCTACATTTTCAGTAGCGGTAGCGGCGCTCAATTTGAGCAATTGTAGCGGTAGCGGAAGCATTCACTACATTTAGAGCATGCACGGTAGCGGCCGCTTCATTTCAAAGTAGCGCTGCCCAGCTCTGCTTAGAAGTAAGATGACAATAGGCCATCCAAGCAATCTCGTAAAAACACATAAAAATATTCGCAGAGGTTGGGCCGAGCGGGAGACCCATGCCTAAACCGTCTAAATCCAATGGCCGTTTTCAAACTTCTGTGTTCCGAAAGCCGACAATCACCGGCCTAAGTACCAGCTTTTTCAGCTTTTGATCATTCCAATTAAGGTTGAACGGTCTCCAAACATTATTATACCGATGCTTTCGTATATGTTCTACATTTCATGCTATGCACGCTGTCTTTGAAATTTTGTGCAATAGTTGGTCGCTTATTGGATTTCCGGCATGTCTGGTGTTTGCCAAAATCAATAAATTCATGTGGAATCAAAATAGGGACGTTACTATAGAGGACGATAGTAGGAACGTTGTTCATGGTTCTTTTCCATACTTCAATCCTGCGTCCAAAGTTATGTCAAGAGAATTAAAAGTGTTGTTCAATAAATGCTTCCCAAATGTCGTTCTTCAAGTTGTGTTGGCAAATAATTGTAAATAGGTTATTTTCTTTAGCTACAAAGGTATGCTCTCAGTTCACATGCGATCATCCCTAGTTTATCAATATTGTTGTGCACGATTTGCATCTGCGTACATCGGAATGACGTCCCGCAATCTTTATTCTAGGGTCGCAGAGCATAAGGGCAGGAGTTGTAGGACTGGGCAGTTGCTATCGCGCCCTCCTCATTAGGCTGTGCCCACTACCGCCAGGTAGTTTTAATTAATGCTACACGACAGTGAAAAGTTTGGTGGTTACATAATAAATATTCGGAGCAGTTTGGTCAAAATAAAAATGTGCATCGAAGTTTTCAGTTGACAATAACAAGAATTTGCATTTTTTAAATGGGACCCAAGCGTCGATAGTAAAGTTAAGGAGAGTATGTTCGGGAGAGTATGTTTCTTCCAGACATGAATATTGTCATAATATTAACACTTATTGCATGAAACCTAATTACTAAGAATATACTTACTGTGCTACTTGCCTATTTATAAGAATAAATAATAAATTATTTTACATTATTTACTATACACCAACATGAGCTTCTAGCCGACTGGCTGATTGAGATAAGAATTGCACGTTCTGAAGTGTACGCTAATAATGGAGGTTTCATTTTCAATACAATAATCATGAGTGCAACGTAACCGAGCTATTAAGATAACAATAATTGCGACAAGGTCGGGGTATAATAATAATAATAGTAATAATGATCGGGCTAGAACACTGATAATAATTGCAACATGGTTCTGGCCGTTACAATAGTGATGATTACTATAAATGGTAGATGGTTTCCAAGACGAACCATCATGCCTATACAGACAAGGAAAGTTCTAGCGAGACAAAACTTAGATTTGAATTTCTTAGCGAGAAAACTTGTATTAATGCAGCCTTGGCTGCAAGTTGGGCTCATAGTTGATACCTAAAAATGGGTGCCTGAGAAAAATATGAAATAAATCCAGTACAAAATAGCAAATCTCGGAGGCGCACAGCACTAATCTGTAGATTAAATATAATTGCCCATCTAATGTTTGGAGGAAATCATGTGCCAGCGCGTGACGTGGAGGCGAGGTGACCTAGAAGGTTAAATTGTTCTCAGAAAAAGACTCAATGTTGCATCGTTTTAGATATTTCCCTCACGCCTTTCGGTTAACACATTCATTGCCCTAATTTCCCTGCCTACAAATATCATCGCCTGTGCACAGGATCAATAGAATTTTATGCGCATTTACACATTTTGCTCGGTAAGTCTTAGCTTCCTATAATTCGTTTACGATCTGCACAGACTACAGATGATGTCAACGCCATTGCTATTGTTTTTTGGTATAGTCGTGATAACCTGGTACATAATTGATCAGTTTGCATGATTATTGACGCTGATAATCTGGTTGATCCATCCAATGAATGAAGAGACCTTCACGTAGACGCCAGGCACCTCGTGACGACCACAGCCGAAGCCCCAGGACACGAGGCCGCTCACCTCGTAGAAGCCGTCCACCTCGCACACCAACGGCCCGCCCCCGTCACCCTGTCATGTTACCAACATGTTACTTTACGGACACGTTACGTTAAGTTACGGACACGTTATGAACACGTTACGTTACGGACACGTTATGAATACGTTACGTAACGGACACGTTATGAACAAGTTACGTTACGGACACCTTATGGATGCGTTGCTAACACGTTATGGTTCTTTATAGATGCGCTATGAACACCTCAAAGACACGTTATGTACAAGTTTCTGGTAAGCTGTTAACACGCTTATAGCAGACACAGCTAATAACCTTAAATAAGGGAAAAATTATCAGACATAAAAAACTAAACTCGCTGTCGAGTCATTTTATTTTGTGATATACTAATTACCGGTAGAATTGATTATTCAGAGGCCACAGAGCGAGTGGTAAGTTATGAGTACAATATGTCCGCGGTCTGACATCTCAACTCAGGCGAGTTTGATTGATAGGAAATATAGGAAATGATTTAATGAAATTCTATCTAATGAGGCAATGTCTCGATGATGATTGGTTGTTATTAATATTCCTTCGACTTTTAATTAGTAATTCATGGGTAAGTGGGCATCCTATATTAAGGAGCAATGTAGTAGCTCATCAATGTCCACAGCCTCCATTGGCCGCCCCTAATCTCTGAACTCGTCTTCACGAACAGAAAATATTAACCTATACCAAGACCTATGCATTTGCAGCTAAAATTTTTCTTAATTAGCATTCATTTGCCCAGTGGCAGTCCGCAGTCCTTAACCGCGGAATATTGATCAACTTCTTCATTAACTTTGGGAGAACAAGGCAGAGGTCGGCAAAGTATTCGACAACATACTTGGGAGTCGTAGACAGAACGTAAGAGGTCCATAAATATTGGGGCGTTGTTTGGGGGTCGATCAAGAAAAAGAAGAAGAAACAATTTGTTTATGCAAGTACTAATATCCCGTGTAAAGTTAAACAGACCAAGAAAGTTTACTGAACACTGGTTAAAACTAATTTCTGACCTGGCAAGCATCATGGCCGCTCTCGCCACCGGCGCAGAAGGAGGACGCAGGAAGGATGAAGATCTTCTCAGTGACGGCGTTGATCTTGCGCACGCATTCGTTCTCTGACACGATCGGCACCTCGGCTTCTCTGATCCTCAGCGGGATGGGGCCAGCTGCAGACGGTGGACAAACTAGCATTGTAGTCGCGGTGAACAAAATTAATGGACTCGATACATACTCCACTTACCGAGTAGTTATAGGAACATGCATTTAGAAAATTTAACGGCGGAACCATGGAGAAATTCTCACTTCTTTGCCAGTGTGGGTCAACACGAATATAGGTAATCATCGGTTGCGTTCGTGTGGTGGTTACAGTCCAGAGTACCAGGATTATAGCAGAGAGGTGTGGGTTCGATCCCAGCTTTGTGCAACAGTTTTTTTTGTCAAAATCGGCGAGGAGGCCAGGTAGTTAAGCACAGCAAAATTGAAGCAGTGAGTTGCGAGTTCGAGACCGCAACAAGCTGTGAATGTTCTGCGACGTTATGATCAGGAACAGGCCTACGGACTACTAAACGCTGAAACTGCTATTATTATCATTTAATTTATATTTATTAAATGCTCGGATAGCCGAGGGAATAAGATTACCGTGATTAGAGCAGGGAGTTTTGTGTCCGAAACCAGTAACAGGTTGTGAAATTTACGTCGAAATCTACGAGATGGCATGGCAGGTGGGTAATAATTGGTGACAGGTAAGACTAGCTTGAGCAAAGCTAACATTACAATATTATAGAATGTTTACATATATTACAAATTTAACATTATTATTTTTACAATATTACACATTTTTCTGTAATATAGAAATGTTCTAACTATGTACTGACTTTCACCCATGTATCCGTAACCAGTGACGGTGCAGCGTTTCCCCGCCTGTTGACTGACGCCCCTAGCAGGCAGACACACAAGACACACTCCCTTCTTGAGCTCGGCGTGCCCTGACAGCTTCAGCAAGGCGATGTCGTTATCGAGTGTCTGTGAGTTGTGGTTGTGGTGGATGTAGGTGGTGGCAACCCGCAGCGTCTGCGCCCCCGGCGACCCAAACCGGGTCGTGAGGTCGTGGTCGCCCACGCGCACGTAAATGGAGTCCCCACTTCTGACGATGCTGCGAGGATTTTTATAACTTTGAATAAATCTTTACTATAGGAGATTTAAAATTCGAAGAATGATCATATCTCGATTCATACTGATTGTTAAGCAGAAGATTGTATTATTAAAATTCAACAGGAAAGTTGGGAAGAAGAAGAAATCTTGAATTTCGAAAAATTTTAAAGGAAAACAATTATGTACGTAATCAATTGACCAGCATGATTTTTGAGGATATGGAAGACGTCAAGAGCAACAAGAAAAACAGAAGTTTCGTGTTGTGAGCGTTGAAACAGGATACATCGTAGACTCAATACACGGCAGGTTGATGTTGAACTCACTTGGTGACGCAGTGAGCGGCGGTGAGCACCCACTGGGTGCCTATGAGTGCTCCCCCACACAGGTATTGGTTCTGGGAGTTGATGAGTGCCACTTGCCAGCACCACTCCCCTGGCAGGGCGTCCTCGCCCCCCACTACGCGGGCCGCGCGGCGGGTGTCGGTGCCTTTGATGCCGCACTCGTACCTGCTGCTGGGGGCTGCAGGCTCCTCCAGCAGGCCAAGCAGAGAACCTGCGGCAGGAAACATGAGGGGTTGCGGTCGATGCTTCTAATATTAACTTTCTCAATGAGTATGTACATTCGAAGGGCTCTTGGAAGGCAGAAGTACTGGAATGGTCAGCAAATTAGTCTCATGTCTTAACGGAGTTCCCTACAATTAATATAACATGCATGTATAATAAAACACTTCAAATGATATGGCAAATTCACAGCAACCGGTATAAAAAATGAATTGCACGCTATAAGTCACTCACTGGCGGTGCTGGTGGTCCTAGGAAGTGGAGGTGGAGGAGGAGTGGAGGGAATGAACTGAGGTCGTGGTGGTTCAGGTGCTGGTGGTCTGGGTTGCGGTACTCTTCCTGGAGGTGACGGCTTCCTAACAGGGTTCACCTGCGGTTCTTGGACCATCGGTGGCAGAGGAGGCGTGAAAGGAACCTTGGCTGCTGGTAGAGGCAGGAGCGGCTGCTGAGGATCTCTTGGATGAGGTGGCCGATGCTCTTCACTGTGGTGAGGAACATGCGGCACCGGAATGGACGCTGGACGCGATTCACCAGACTGTGATTGTTGTGGTGGTAGTTGAGGCTGTGGTGGTCTCAAAGGTTGATAATGTTCATGCGGATTTAAATGAAGCGCGTGAGATTCGTGGTGGTGCATCTGGTGGTCGTGGTCCTGAAGATGTGCTTGAGGATCTCTAAGTTGAGGAGGAGGCGCCATAATTTGACCAGGCTGATGAGGAGGCTGGACGAAGCTGGGATCTGCTGGGTAATGCTCCACACGATGACGCTGATGCAGTTGGTGGGGTGGTATACCTTGCGAAAGTTGTGGGTGAGCTGGAACATGTTGAGGGTAGCGATGGTAATGTTCCTGCGGTTGTTGAGGAGCTTGGTCATGAGTGTCACTGGGCTGGTACTGTGGGTAGTGGTGGTCCTGATCAAAGCTGTCCTGTGCCCCTGCATGTATCTCAGGAGTGTAAAGGTTGGAGTTTGGATCTTGTCCGAAGTGTGACTGATGATGACCTCCGTGCAGGTAATTAGGGTAAGGAGCTTCACCAGGATTATCAAATTCTGTGCCTTCATGATAATACTGAGGGTGTGGAAGCCCAGGTCGATGTTCATCGTATTGTGGAGCTCTGTGAGCGAATGGACTGTCTTGTCTGTTATCGTATTGATCATCAGAGGAATCCTCAAGCCTCTCGACCAATTCCTCCCCGATCTCAAGGCTGGAGCTGTTTTTGTGGGGGTTGAAGAGGTATGCTTGTCTCTCCTGGTCCCGAATGGCTGATTTAGGAGCACAGCATTTCTGTTGCGAACGATCGCAAGCGAAAATTTCTGTCAACTCAGCGTTACCTGGAGAAACCGAGGAAATAAAAATTTATTAAAAATACAATTGAAAATATTCTCGTCTATAGAACAAAAAAATATTATAGTCCATAGAAATTTCATTTAATATGTTATTTTGAATATGAATATTTGGAATATGAATATTTTCATAGAATATTATTTCATAGAATATTTTTTTCCACGTGTTTCGTAACACGTGAAAGCGGAGGTAAAGAAATAACTGGTTCGCAACTCTTATATAAAAAGTTGGACCTAATATACAAATTTTCTTCTACTGGAAAGTGTGAAGAAATACAACATTCAATAAATTCACAAAATAAAGAAACATTCGCATCTTAAATAAATTTGGATTTGGAGCGGTAAGCACGATAAAAAGTGCGCTGCAATTTCCGAAACTGGAGGATGCATATTAGTCAAGCCTCAGTACAAACAAATAAGTCAGTGAAAAGAATGAAAATGTACATTGGATAAATCTTAGGCGTCAATTAAAGGAATGAGCAGAAAAAAGAAAAAATAGAAGAATGAATTACAAAAAACGTCTATGGAAAAAAATCGATGAAGGAAGACTTACCAAAACAAGTAAATGATAGAATTGGTAGGATGCAAGTCCCCGGGCAGTCGGGTTTTGGAGTGGTAGTTGTAGGCGCCGGGGTGGTCGTGGTTGTGGTTGTTGTGGTTGTAGTTGGTGTGGTTGGAACGACATTGATTGGCCTCTGGCCTTCCTGAGGTGGCCGTCGCTGGTTGGAAGGTGGAGGACGACGGCGGTTCGGAGGTCTAGGCCTTGAACTCGGAGGTCGGTCTTCGGAGGACATGAAGAAGGAAGCAAGCGACTGGATTGCCTGAGGAACCAAACTGCTCACGGGATTGTAGCTTGGCCGACTTGGAGGGCGAGGCCGCGAGACTTCAGTTTTTTCTGGAGCTTCTGTCTCTACCGCCTCCGCAGCAGCCGCCTGCTGCTTCCACTGCTTCTGAGCTTCTCTGTCGTCACAGCAAATGGTGTTCTCAATGCAAGTTGATCTCGTCAAAACGGTTGACGGTTCACGACATAGGCGAATCCGATCGACCGGAATACAAGTGCCTGGACATTCAGGCACATATAGACTTGGTGGTGCAGTAGAGGGCTCCCGGATTGGTGCAGGTGTTGTTGTCGTCGTTGTGGTACGTGGTGTGGTTGTGGTAGATGTAGTAGTTGTGGTGGTGGTCGTTGTAGTGGTTGACGTCGTCGTTGGAGCTCGCGAAGTAGTATAACTAGAGGTCTGGGTGATGGTTTCTTTCTTTTCGGTGGTAGTACTGGGAGTTGTACCGACATCACTACGTTCGGGTTGAGCAGGCGTGGTCTTGCGTCTTTGTGTCAGGCAGCACCGGCCGTTGCGGGGGCAGAAGGCGTCCCTGTTGACCTCGTCACAGAGGAAGGAGAAGAAGGCGGCCACGCAGGTCCCCTTGCAGCGGCGGTGCTCTGGAATGTTAAGATCGGCGGGTGGGCCTTCGTCGACCGAATTGTCGCTCTCGGGACTTGCTTGGCGGTTTACTTCATTTGTGGCTGAGGCCGAAGACTGAAAAATTAAAACCAGAAGTGTAACGACTAACGATAAAATCAAAAACCTTATGTTTTGCTTCACGTCATCTGAAAATTAGGCTGAGCAGTGCAAATTTTAACATTAAATTTGCAATGACATTAAAGCCATATCGTTGTCAGTTGCTGTGCAAATTCTAACAGACACTGGTGAGTTTCGCCATAAAGACGAAACAAATAGAAATCGTTAGAACCTTCTTCCAACAACTGAACAATCTTGGATGCGAAAACTAATTTTTATCAATAAACTTCAAACATCAAAATCAAATTTAGTAGGTACACAGGTGATGTCCGTCTATAATAAATGAAAGTTTAAAAACATGCTTAATAAAAATAAACAAAAAGCCTATACCATTTGCATCGCAGTTATTGCTCATTTTAAGCGTATATGGACGAAGAATGACTAACACATCGCCACGTAGGCCTAGGTGATGGACTGAATTCTTTGAATATCTCACGTCAGGCCGATTGTGCTGCTCCTCCCTGCGGCCGTTCTTAGGCCCCATGATGACCACGAACTCCTTAGGGACGACGTCCTTGTCCTGGAAGAGGTTGTGGGGGACGCAGCAGCGGAGGAAGGGCTTGCAGAGCCCGTCCACGTCCAGCGCTGCCTCGCAGTGGTCGCTGATGCGTTCTGCCACGCATACCCCCGGGCACACTGCAAATAATNAGGTTCTTTACTTTTATGCCTGTAAAATCAGAGGTTCTTTACTTTTATGCCTGTAAAATCAGAGGTTCTTTACTTTTATGCCTGTAAAATAAGAGGTTCTTTATTTTTATGCCTGTAAAATAACTACAGTTTATTCATATACTCAAGTGTCCTTCGCCGTACACTGCAAATAATTATAGAGGGTCTTTACTTTTATGCCTGTAAAATAACTATAGTTTATTCATATTCTAAAGTGTCCTTCGCCGTACACTGCAAATATTTATAGAGGTTTTTTACTTTTATGCCTGTAAAATAACCATAGTTTTATGAATGTATTTTCAAGTATTCTTTGCCGTATTATAGGGACAGTAAATACAAGCGAATAATTAATTTAATTTCAACAATTTTGTTTGCCACTGCCCTCCGCTTCGCAAACCACA